TCCTCCTGCCCCCCCCCGCCCTCCTCCCCCCCACTCTCCCTCCCACTGGATCTGTCAGTGCCGGTGCCTAACTCCTGCTGTTGATTTTGGACTTCAAAGGATGCTCAGTTTGTAGAAATAACTATTAATATTGCAGGCAACAGAACTCGGTCGAATTGCATCACATTTCTATTGTACTTATGATACAATGCAAACCTATAATCAGCTACTGAAAGCAACAGCAACAGAAATTGACCTCTTTCGCATCTTCTCACTATCCTCCGAATTCAAACAAATCATGGTCCGTGAGGAGGAAAAACTGGAATTGCAAAAACTTGCTGAACATGTTCCCGTACCAATCAAGGAAAGCCTGGAAGAAAGCAGCGCAAAAGTTAATGTTCTTCTCCAGGTATAATGCTTTTCTCGTTGCCACAATTATCGTGAGAAAATTTCATCGTGATAAAATTAGTTTTTTTCGGTTCCTTAAGTCGTTTTCGAACTATTTGTAAAATGGGGCATTTTATCTGTTATTTATCGTGGCTTACCACTCATCTATTACTAATCGTCTTTCATAATACTCTGTTCACCACTAACATGTATTACACAATAAATTTAACCCTAACTTTCACTAATTTTTTCAATTACCACAGTTGTTGTACTTACGAGATCCAGTTGTGGTAATGGTAAGAAATGTATGCGACTTAATGAACCGAAACACTTCCATTATAGTAATCTCACAAATTTTCTGATTTTCATTTCTTACTTTTTTTTCCCGTTTTTCTTTTTATTTTATTCTTTCTTATTATAACTTTCTATTATATGCATTTGGCAGTTACATTCGCCCCTGAATTTTTTGAGCCGAATATGCGAAATTACAGGCATACATATCGCAGTTGAAGTTGGATGGCTTTGCACTTCAAAGTGATATGGTATTTATTAGCCAATCGGCTGGACGTTTGTTCCGCGCCTTGTTCGAGATTGTTCTATGGAGAGGCTGGGCACATCTCGCTCAGGTTTGTCTCTTATGTATTTTTAATATTCTTATAGATTTGTCCAAATGTTCCTGCCACGATAGCTCATCGTTCGATTACGTCGTAAATTTGCACCTGTCAGACTTCCTTTTATACTACATGTGATCTTTTTCGACCCTCTGTCGGTTCAGGAGAATATTTATTGCTAGTGTTTTCGTATAGGATATGTATTATAACCTCTACGTATCTTGTACAGCCTAGAATCGAGGCTTAGCATAGCTGTGCTCGACATTACTAACAAGAAACATCCGTACTGTTGCTCCTGGCGATCTCAGTATTTTTGTGGTATTTGTGCAGAAATTTCTAAGGGTGCCAGATCGAGAGATACATGTGTATCGCTAAAATGTGATGACCATAACAAGGTTCAGTTGTGGTAACGGTAAGAAATGTATACGACTTAATGGACCGAAACATTTCTTACCTATTAACAAATATTTCCGTAGTCCTCTTTCCCCCTCTTGCCTCGCTTTTTCTTCGTTTTTTTTCCCCTTCATCTTTTCCACTCCATTATTTTCTCTTTATCCTTTAATGGTAAAACTGAATATCGGACGTACCAGGAGATTGATGCGAGCACTTTTTTTGTCTGATTTTTTTAATTTTTTTGGTTTTTTTGTGCAAAACATGATGAAGCGTTGACCGTTTTCTGAATTACAGCAGTTGCTTCAGAGGATATGCTATTTTTAGAAAGTATTGGGCGTTTGCAAAATGGTAAATGCACGTCAATGGCAGTCGCTCAACCCGCTTCATCAATTCAAAAAAATACCCTCAGAGGTGTGTTTTTGCTAATTTTTCAGAATTACAGTCCTATCGCTATCTGCCTATTGTTAATTATTCACCGAACAATGTCTGTGTTTTGCATTTTTTAGGTTGTGAGAAGTATTGATAAGAAAAATCTGCCGTTCGAGCGTCTGTACGATCTCGATCAGCATCAGCTTGGAGAGCTTGTAAAACTGCCCAAAATGGGCAAACCGTTGTATAAATTTATTCGCCAGGTATGTATATTTTTAAGTTTGCTCA